CCATTTATTACACTATAGAAATAGACATCGGACAGCTTGAACAAACGATACTAAGACTGGACAACCTAATCCTAACATAATACGAACAAGACTAATTCCATCTTATTCCCTGGTAATAACGAACTCTCACTAAAACGTCACTTTCTTGCGTACCGTGTCACACTTTCACTCTTTCAATATTATCGCTTCGCACCAACATTCATGCGCACCAATTTCCCTAGTCGAACATGCATCATAACATTACACCCCTCTCCCTTCAAGCTAATCACATTAGCTTTATTAATTACATCAATAATACAACATTCTGTTTTACCTAACAATAGCAACTAAGGTAGCATTCACACATAGACCTTAAAGGCTAAACAATTTTCACGAATTCTTGAAGTTTCAGTTTAGTTCATGTCTCCGCGCGCACAACCATATTTTGCCGATTCTGCAAAGTATACATCTCAGATCACCGGTTGGTTATCCATCATACAATCACACTTCACGTAAAGGCCAGGATTTCATACAATGTCGATCAGTTCCACTGAAAAGAAATTATTCCTAGGGGAAAACAACATGTCACTACTAATCGGTTATCATTATCTAACATAGTCTCTCAAACCTAATGTATTAGACTTAATCTAATGTAGTACCTCTTCTGTTAATTACGCTACATTATTTATACAATAAATCACATCTCACGTGTTAGTTTAGTGCTAAGTAATTAAATAACCACAGCATATTTCATAAATCACTATATCACCTGCATATATTCATCTCATGTTACAATGACATGTACCAATAATAATTCTTAACATCTTCAGTAACCAAATACGATATCACATAGGGGAATATTTTCCCTAGAACCGTTAAATCCATGACCAGGTACTCGGTACATCCTCGAGCTACCCACAAAAAAAAAAATAATCTGACTACATCCTCAGTCTTAAAATCAACTAACTACCGATGAAGCAACCGACCAACGAACTATCCCCCTGCTGGCCGGGTGACGACACCAAATTATCTTAAAACAGCATTATCCTAATCTACTGGGTTCCTTACGCTAAGACAACAAACCTCATAGGATAACATATCATCACATATAGTAAATTGAAAATCATATTATTATAATAAATCAAATCCAGATCATAGTGACATCATCCTGTCAACAACATACCACCGCTCTCAAACCGGCGTGTCCCCATTAACTATTACAATATCAATTATCACTAATACTGATGTCTTACTAATCATACAACAATCCTCATCAGCATAACACAGCAATGGGCTCATAATAGTAATACCTACAGCCCCTGCTTAATCACTACATTTGTTGGTCCAGTAAGACGTAATAGAAAAAAAAATGTACATGCCTACTACTTTAAAAAAATATGAAGAGGTACTACTTATCTAATTTGTAGAGCTTGGGTATCATCGTCGGCTTCATCACACAACACACACTTCCCACACAGATCCCCTTGTCCTTCACGTCAGGGTCCTCACAGCACGGTCATCAATGTTCTCCCCCACACGGTTCTTCATGGCATGGGTCCTCCCAACACGGTTTCTCACAGCACGGGTCATAACGGCATAAGTCATCACAGCACGGGTATTCTTACAACTGGTCTTCATACATATGTCTTCAAACACGGGTCTTCTTAGCACAGGTCTTCACACACGAGTCTTCTTAGCACGGGTCTTCACACACGATTTTCACAATAACAGTCCATATATCACAGAGACATAGCCCGTACGAAAATTATATCGATGAAACTTGACTGATTAGACAGTGATAGCGTTTCCTGACTAGATGTTATATCCGCCGACTAGCTTCTAAGTGCTTTCAAGCTACTTCACCTTGTTATACTGCTTCAAGCTGTTCTAGCTGTTTCACGTTGTTATGCTGCTCCACCATGTTATAACTGGGTTCTCTATGTGTACCACAGTTATGCAGTGAGAGGGTAGAACTACTTGCTCCAATACTATATTTCAATACCACTACCATTTGATTATGTTTAGCTATGCAACAGTGCATCTTGAGACACGACGACATCAACGCTTACTAATGACTTGACAGAATGACATTGTTTGCTAATTCCATAACGAAAGAACGATTCATGTTTTAAGAAGAAATTAAAATAGTAATTTTTGTATGAATTTATATGTACACACCTTTATACATGTAATGAAAATAATACTTTAAAAAGGAAATAAAGGTACACTTTTTGGCTATGACATTAAATAAGTCACATGAAGGCAGTTTCATATTTTTAAGAAACTTGCCATTTAAAGTGTATAAGAGTTCATTTCTAGGCCAGGCACGCTTACTGCCCCTAACAGTTGTTTGGTATCTGCTGTGAATGGACTTCAGTGTATTGAATGTATTTGAGAGTATGTGTGTGGTTGAACGGGGTTAATAGAGATGTTGATTGTTTGAGAGTATGAGTGTAGTTGATTGTGTTCAGTAAAGATTTTGATGGTTTGAGAGTTTGTCTGTAGTGGTATTAATAAAAGGTTCTGAAAGCGCGAATAAATAAGGATGTGACCTAGAAGAGTATGTGTTGATTGTTAGGAAGATAGTAGAAGTCAGTTTTAGTCTTGTTGTCGTTGTGTTAGGAAGTCTTTGTCCTGTGTCTGCCGTTGATTTAGTCGTCGTGTAAAGTTGATGTAATAAAATTATAGAAATGAAGAAAGCCGCCTTTTCATATCTACATTCAGTCGTCCTACCTCGTTCGTCACGTTCAGCATCGACCCTGTACAACAGCTCACTGTACAACAGTATCCGTCAAAGATGGTTGGCCTTACAGAAATCTATTGGATGTGTCAGTTGGTCATTGTAAAACTTAATGTACATCATGTAATTGGCCGGGTCACAACAGTCATAGTCGTACGATCGAACTAAGAAGATAATGAATTGACAAATATGAATGAGATATCTGCAGAAAGTACTGGCATAGTTAGGTTTTGATTATGAGAGTGTTGTTATATAAATGTGTTTATATTTATAAAAGTATATGAGCTGTATAAATATATATATATATATATATATATATATATATATATATATATATATATTTATATATATATATAGATATATATATATATATATATATATATATATATATATAAGTAGTATAGTAGGTCCCCTTTGGGTATCATTGAGGTGGAGGTGGTGGAGGTGGTGGAGGTGGAGGTGGAGGTGGAGGTGGGACAACTGTTGCATATTGAGGTGGAGGTGGAGTGGACAACTGTTGCATTTTTTGACCGTTATTGATTGATTTTTGCCCATCTGTTGCATATTTTGACCGTTATTGATTTATTTTCGACCACCTGTTGATTTTTCTTCCTGTTTTTTGCCCACCTGTTGATTATTTTTAACCCGTTGTTGATTGTTCATTAACCAACTGTTGATTGTTTTGATTAGTAGGGTATTGTATTGATCGGTATGTTGACCACTTGACCAACTGACCACGTGTTGGTCAGAGGTGGAGGTGGAGGTGGATTCCCCTATTGATTTGTTTGTATTGAGGGTTAGGGTACCTAGTAGTTGACCAATTGACCAGTTCTTTTATTAACGGTTAAAATAAAGTTATACATTTGTTTACCAGTTGACCAACTGACCAGTTGTTGACCAGTTGACCAATTGACCAATTGTCCACTTGTTGACCAGTTATTGGTTGTTTTTATTGACCTGGACGACAGTCCGGCTTTAACAGTATATAGTAAAATAGTATTTCCCCACCTCCAATGGGGGTGTGGGTGGGGGTGACGCGGGTGGGGGGGGGGGGAGGTGGTAGCAGGTGGTACCCCTTCCCTTTGTGTGTTGCAATCTCATTCTCCCTTTGTCTGACGTCTGTGTGAGCATGTCCTTTTGTGTGCCGCGACTCGCGTCATACTCAAAGGCAGGTGCCCTACCCCATTGTCTAATCCAACTCACGCGCCTTTACTATCGATTTTTTAAAAGTCATGTTTAAACATGTTGACCGTATAAAATCTTTGTTGAATAGGACTGGTGGATGTCGAATTCTACGCGTCTTAATATAAAGAGATACAGAACGTGCCAACACCCGGGCCGGTTATTGACCCCACTGGTGGTTTCTACTTGCTTGTTGTGTTTATGGCTTGCATTTATTTACACATACACATTCACACACACACACACACACACACACACACAAATGAAACTAAAATCAAATCACAACAAAAGACTTCTTATATTTTATGAATTTATTTCAACTTTCTCCAAGTCATCAAACGCTTTTAAAATATCATATCTCAGGGCGAGTAAACGTTCAAAAGCTATACGAGAGAGATTAATTCCAGAATTATTAGGAAATTTAAGATCTGTACCATCCATAAGATCTCTAAGATTTAAAATGTTTTTGTTCATGAATTGACTAACGATAGCTACTTTATAACCACTGTCATTCGTCGTTCGTATTTCCGTCACTTTATTACTACTTCTGGTCACAAGTATCCAATCTTCACTAGACATCTTGAAAGCGCGGAAATAAACGTTTATAATTAGTCCCAATAAGTGCAAGGGTTAAACGGGATATAACTCGATCGTTAATATATTGTCGAGCCGGTGAAGCTGAAAATGGGTGGAGAATAAGTTTTAGGCTAGCTCCCCGAACTTTCTTCAAAACAAAATAAACTGCGTATAACCCACAGCTGTTGGTTACAATGTCTTGCAAAACTCTTGAATTGTAAACGAATGGTCTGTTTGAATTATTTTTTATAAAAGCCAAAATGGCGGGTTCACGCGGTGGTAATCCAAAACTATCGAAATAAGTAAATTGCGATAGACCATTGAAAAAAAGACCAACCCAGTGGCTGCCTTCATCCTTGGACGAATCTAAATTTATAATGAACGCCGCTTGCTTCGTTCTATCGATACGAGTAGGTAGTTGATCGCACGCTACAACACCAAAGAGATTTGTGCGTTGTACAAATAAATCTGCGGCCAGTATACTTTGTAGTTCTCTTGTGTTCATTTTCGTCTATAGGCCGCTTTAGGCGGTGTAATCTGTCAACACTTGTCTCGTTTTTGAAATTTCTAACACCGAATCTAGTTCAGCATACGCAATAACTTGAATCGGTTCAGTTGTAACTTGTGAAAATTTAAGTTCAATAGAAACAGGTCCAGATTTAGCCAATTCAAATTGTTCACCATCCAAAAGACTGGGGCTTAAATCAAAAGCAAACAAGGTATAGCCGTTCTTAAAGTGTTTATAGTCTATTCCATTCCCAGCATCTTTTCCAACCATACCCAGAGAGAGGTTACTATTGAAAAATGCTCTAATGGCTTGATTCCTATCAAAGTCCATGACCAGTGGTTTTCCCGATAACGATCGTCCATCAACGCTTACATTTAAATACGTCAAGTGAAAATGTTGAAAATTGAAGGGGTTTTTTGTGTAACTACCATTAAAGGCTGTAGAGGCGACTAGTCCGAGGACTAATCGGGTGGGTGTTTGACTCATATACAAATTGTCTTGGTTGTGACTGAACATTCCTTTCGGTATAGCAAAGGTCTTTATAACAACGCGTTTAAAAGGGTATTTTGCATTCATTCTCGTTAAAGCCTTTTCATGCGCGATAGAAATCGCCGGGTTAAGTCTGGCCTTTCTAACTACCAATGTTGCGTGCGTTATCATCGCTTTATACCCCTTGTTTTGGTCTGCTGTCAAGAGAGTGAAACTGTCTTTTGCGGGTGTAAGTTTAATTTTAATGTCAACCCCATTCAGCATATAGCGATCTTGGGTGAAAATGTCAGAGTGGATACGTCCCATCATATCGATCTCATGACTTTCAGCAGCGGTGGTGCGGCGAATCCTATACCCATCATTATTGTCATCTTTGAACTCCTCGAAATAACACGGTGTGTCCATTGCATATAGAGCAGCTGATAGAGACCCATTCTTGGCATCTTCCCCGTAATTTAACGTAGCCTCCAGATAGGCGCGATACGGATAGGTGTTCTCACTAGCGGTGATTAGTGTGTCGTTGAGAGAAATATCCACTTGGGAAAATAAACTGTGCAAAAAATAATTGACTGGTGCAACTTCAGAGTCCACTGATATGGGATCACCATTCGCTAAGGTCACCTTAGCGCGCACATGTAAATACGTGTTGAACAAATCTAGATAGTCTTCACTGTTGCCAGAAATTGCAAATTCTATAGGTGCACTTTGTGCCAAGGATGCGAGGGGGTGTATTTCAACAAATTGACCCTCCTCGACGGCAGTTTGTGTCGGGGGTATACTAAATAAATCCAATCCAGAATGTAAGCACTCACATGAACTTGGATGAATAAGAGCCATGGTTAAGCAAATATATCTGAATACTTGGGATGTTTCTTCTTTCGCTTAGCACACGCCTTCGAATGATTGTGACTTGATCTGTGTGCTAGTTTTATTCGTTTTTCAAAGGGTTCACCTGGTGGTCTCGACAGCGCACGCTTTCTTCTCAATCCGCTTCCTGATTGGTTTTGTCCCAGGTGATCAACGGCGCCTTGTAATAAACGATGACCAGCTTCTTTGGCGTGTTCTTTGAACGATTCTCCAATGTTTCTTCCCGCTAATGCATCGTTTGCAACATGCAACCCGGTACTAACACCTTCTCTGAGTAAAGCCTTACCTCCCGTCTTTAACCAAGGGAGGACCATTCGACCTAGACCACTAAAGAAACTACCAATACCGTGTCCTCTTTGATTTCTTCCACCGATAAAAATTGGTAAACCATGACCGTACTGGTTACAGTAAAAATCTTCGTACAATTTAGGGTTTCGATGTAAAAGGGTATGTTTCACCATGGTGTGAGTTATTCCAGATCGAAATGTTTACGTGTTCTAAAATGGAGTGTCAACACTGACGTTCCACTTGTGAATGAGAGAGATATAGCGTCGGTGTCTACATTAACGTTACTGTCGTTGTGAGGTGTTTTTAGGCGTTTGTTTGTTGTTTCGTCATAGGTGCTTTGTCTCTTTAATTGTATAGGTAGGTTGTCTGTTTGTCTGTCGTTTGTTGATGCAGGTTGTTCAGTTTGTCTGTCAGATGTTAATGTCGGTTGTTCAGTTTGTCTGTCAGATGCTGATGGGACATCGGTTGGTGTATGTGGATTGGTGTGTGCTGTGGTGGTGTGTCTTTTTAAATTGTCAACTCTTGTGTACATTTTGCCACATTCGGTGCACTGATATCTGCCTCGTCCATGTGCAGTAGCTTGGTGTCTTTTCAAAGCGTCACTCCTGCTGAACACACGGGGACAGGTGGCGCACGTGTATCGGGTCATGGTTGAGTGAGTGGGTGGAGGGGTGGTTTGCATCTCAGTCTGTCTGTATAAGTAAGAGAGAAAAAAGTAAATAAATAAGCGTAAATAAATTTAAAGTAAATATATTTGACAACTTATTTAAAAATAAATAAGACGTAATTAAAGGGTATAAGCGTATTTTTATATTAACAGGGTTAATTCGATTAAAATATATAAATAAAATAAAATCAAATAAAATAAACAGTATTGAACTTACTTTTTTTAATGGTAATGTCTAAGCCGACTTGAGAGCTGTCAGTCGGAGGTTTGCTGTATGTGGTTGGGTCGCCTGGATATGGGTGGGTTGGGTTGTTGGGTAGTTGAATGGCTTGTTCAGTGGTTAGGGTTGACTGTATAATAAAAAAAATAAAACGAATACCTCTGACTATTTATTTTAAAAATTAAAGATATAATTAAAGGGTAAAAAATAAAGTTCCCTTTTTTCAAAACTGTTGGTATATAGGACAAGTGCAGTAGAGTTCACTTGTTTCTGTAACCTCAGTATATGAAGAGCTAGTGTGGTCAGCCCTATTTACTTTCCCTAACACTAGTCAAGACAACAAAAGTACTAGGGCGGTTTACTGACTTGAGTCGGGATTCGAACTCGAGACTTACAGATTAACAGTAAAGCAAGCACATTTAACTCCAAGAAAATAAATAAGATTTTAATTAAAAGGGTATAAGCCTAACTTTATTAATAATCTAGGGGTGGGTCAGGTATACATTAAAAATTAAAGCAAGCACATTTAACTATTAATTTAAAAAGATAAATAAGATTTTAATTAAAAGGGTATAAGCCTAACTTTATTAATAATCTAGGGATGGGTCAGGTATACATTAAAAATTAAAGCGAATACATTTAACTCCAAGAAAATAAATAAGATTTTAATTAAAAGGGTATAAGCCTAACTTTATTAATAATCTAGGGGTGGGTCAGGTATACATTAAAAATTAAAGCGAGTACATTTAACTCCAAGAAAATAAATAAAATTTTTTTTATTAAAGGGAATAAACGTATCTTTATATTCGCTGAGTTAACTCCCTTAAAAGAATATATATATATATATATATATATATATATATATATATATATATATATATATATATATATATATATATATATATATATATATATATATATATATATATATAATAAAAAATAAAAATATTAACCTTACCTTAGTGCTGGATGATGTGAATGTCTAAGATGAAGTGAACTCGGTCCGTAGCAGGGTAGCTGATTCGATGAGTGCGGAATGACAAAGTATGCGGTCCGTAGCAGTATAGTTAGTTCAGTGGACGCGGTATCACAAGGTATGTAGTCCGTAGTAGGATGGCTGGTTGGCTGGACGTGAAGATGAGTTGAAGTCTTGAGAAGTAGTGTTTGAAGTAAAATTTCGTCTGAATTTATACTTTATGAACGCGTGGGTCAATTATGCAGGCGTGGGTCACGCAGATGTGGAGGTCATTGAACTCTACTGCAATCCTTGGTTTAAAAACAAAAACATAACTCGTCACCTGCTTGATACATAAAATCGAAAATGTAATTTCTTTATCTCGCCTGTTTCACGCTTGCGCAGTGAAACGAATCGTCCCTTTGGACCAAGACGCGGTCGGGTTTTCAAAGCCTATTGTCCAGCGCTCAGCTACCCATACAATGGGTATTGTCCTCACAGAATACAATGGGCGGCCGACGCGTGCCCGTGTTTCGGTTGTGCGTGGAATTTGTAAACATTACTACATGATAAATTTATTCAAAATTCTATACGCAGACACCGCGGGTGTGAACAAGCGAAGGGTGGACGCGTGCCATTGTGTACTGCATACCAGGATTGACGTGCGCATGCTTTAACACTTACGATTGGTCCCGAGTTTAGCGCCGTAATTTTTATCGACTATTCTATAAGCAGACAACGCGGATGTTTATACAAAGGTTATTGACCTCACAGGGTACAAGGGAAGCTAGTCGCGTGGTGCATCACCCGCGATTTCAGGAGGTCGTTGAACTACATTACCAACTGTTCGCGGTTTTCGTGAACCCGCCATTTTGGCTTTTATAAAAAATAATTCAAACAGACCATTCGTTTACAATTCAAGAGTTTTGCAAGACATTGTAACCAACAGCTGTGGGTTATACGCAGTTTATTTTGTTTTGAAGAAAGTTCGGGGAGCTAGCCTAAAACTTATTCTCCACCCATTTTCAGCTTCACCGGCTCGACAATATATTAACGATCGAGTTATATCCCGTTTAACCCTTGCACTTATTGGGACTAATTATAAACGTTTATTTCCGCGCTTTCAAGATGTCTAGTGAAGATTGGATACTTGTGACCAGAAGTAGTAATAAAGTGACGGAAATACGAACGACGAATGACAGTGGTTATAAAGTAGCTATCGTTAGTCAATTCATGAACAAAAACATTTTAAATCTTAGAGATCTTATGGATGGTACAGATCTTAAATTTCCTAATAATTCTGGAATTAATCTCTCTCGTATAGCTTTTGAACGTTTACTCGCCCTGAGATATGATATTTTAAAAGCGTTTGATGACTTGGAGAAAGTTGAAATAAATTCATAAAATATAAGAAGTCTTTTGTTGTGATTTGATTTTAGTTTCATTTGTGTGTGTGTGTGTGTGTGTGTGTGTGAATGTGTATGTGTAAATAAATGCAAGCCATAAACACAACAAGCAAGTAGAAACCACCAGTGGGGTCAATAACCGGCCCGGGTGTTGGCACGTTCTGTATCTCTTTATATTAAGACGCGTAGAATTCGACATCCACCAGTCCTATTCAACAAAGATTTTATACGGTCAACATGTTTAAACATGACTTTTAAAAAATCGATAGTAAAGGCGCGTGAGTTGGATTAGACAATGGGGTAGGGCACCTGCCTTTGAGTATGACGCGAGTCGCGGCACACAAAAGGACATGCTCACACAGACGTCAGACAAAGGGAGAATGAGATTGCAACACACAAAGGGAAGGGGTACCACCTGCTACCACCTCCCCCCCCCCCACCCGCGTCACCCCCACCCACACCCCCATTGGAGGTGGGGAAATACTATTTTACTATATACTGTTAAAGCCGGACTGTCGTCCAGGTCAATAAAAACAACCAATAACTGGTCAACAAGTGGACAATTGGTCAATTGGTCAACTGGTCAACAACTGGTCAGTTGGTCAACTGGTAAACAAATGTATAACTTTATTTTAACCGTTAATAAAAGAACTGGTCAATTGGTCAACTACTAGGTACCCTAACCCTCAATACAAACAAATCAATAGGGGAATCCACCTCCACCTCCACCTCTGACCAACACGTGGTCAGTTGGTCAAGTGGTCAACATACCGATCAATACAATACCCTACTAATCAAAACAATCAACAGTTGGTTAATGAACAATCAACAACGGGTTAAAAATAATCAACAGGTGGGCAAAAAACAGGAAGAAAAATCAACAGGTGGTCGAAAATAAATCAATAACGGTCAAAATATGCAACAGATGGGCAAAAATCAATCAATAACGGTCAAAAAATGCAACAGTTGTCCACTCCACCTCCACCTCAATATGCAACAGTTGTCCCACCTCCACCTCCACCTCCACCTCCACCACCTCCACCACCTCCACCTCAATGATACCCAAAGGGGACCTACTATACTACTTATATATATATATATATATATATATATATATATATATATATATATATATATATATATATATATATATATATATATATGATCCAAATAACAAAAACCTAGAAAACGAGTATTAGTACTTACATGAAAATTATTCCCATTTCCATGTCGAGCAAAATTTCGATATAAGCTACAGTAAGCGGTACAGTGACATAAATTGATTTTGTTTTCCTAGATAAATGTAATTGTAAATCATGTTCACATATAGCTCTGTTTACCTTAGCTCTCTCAACTATTATATACAATTTTAAAACAGCGTGTGCATTTGTTTGCTATAGTGAGGAATAAAGACGATTATTAAAATTCTTGTAT